TTCTGATTCATAATCTTTGAGATGCTCTAACTAATTTAATAGTAGATTAGCGTAAAACAAAAATGAGCAAGTAATGTATAGATAGCTTTTACACATTGCATTTATCTTACACACACTTTTCCCTGGTATAGTCACTTTGAGTTCTAGAGGGCAAGCCTTCTCAATCATCTGTAGTCCATGCAAAGCCAAGCATGGTGCCTAGCACAGTGATGGCACTTGCTGAAAATTTATTGAATTAATTTTAAAAATTATATTTAATAGTTTTGAAAAAATGTTTTTAAGGAGAAGGAATAGATGACTAGCATACCTCATAGATATTGCAGGCTTGGTTCCACACCACCACAATAAAGTGAGTATCACAATAAAGCAAGTCACATGAATTTTGTCTTTTCAGTGCATTTAAAATTTGTGCTATATTGTAGTCTATTAAGTGTGTATAACATTAAGGAATTTAATTTTCCTTTTCATTAAGGAAAATTAAAATTGGGAGCTTTTTAATTCACTTACCTAATACTAACTTAGAATTTGGGCAATGTAAGGTTGGAATATATATATATATATATATATGTCTTAAGTTGTACCAAGAACTTACTATTTTTGATTGAACCTATTCAGAATATTTGTGTATGATGTTAATTACTTTTTGTTGTTGTTAATGCTTACCCAAGGATATTTTTTCTGTTGGTTTTTAAAGAAAGTGGAAGGGAGGGGGAGAGGTAGAGAGAGAAACATCAAAGTGAGAGGGACACATAGATAGGTTGCCTTCTGCACGCACCTGCTGGGGATTGAACCTGCAACCCAGAAATCTAACCTGTGACCTTTAGGTCCGAGGGCCAATGCTCTTAACCACTCACTGAGTAACACTGGCCAGGGCTAATTACTCATTTTAATGTGTGGATTCTCCTCTTTTGGGTGTTAGGATGAAGGAAGAGAAGAAAGAAGCAAAAGGTGACTGCTCTTTATAACAGAAATTAGATCTAACATTAAGAAAATGGACATGAAAGCCACACTAATACCATTAAATTGAACTATGCACCACTGAACAAGCCCAAGCCAGTTTATTTTTGAGTTGCTTTTTTATGATATAAGCATAAAGCCAATCTTCTTATTTGCAATTTTAGTTGCAGCTGTGTTGTGATTCTTTCCAATGGTACATTTTAAATTATACTTCCTATTGCTATTCCTTTCCCTTTTTCTGTTCTTTTCACAGTTATCCTTAGTAAGTACCAGACAACTTTGCTTCTCTCTCCCGAACTTCCTCTTTCTCCTGAATTGGTCCACAAATATCAAGCTCCACTAGTGTTGTTCACTTTAGTCAATGGACATGGATATGGAGCAGGGAAATATCAGTCAGGATATATGAAATATAATTTGGTGTTCTGATTGTTTTTCTTTTTATAACATGAGAAATCATATCCTGAATTCCATTTTGTAAGAATAAATATTCTACTTGTACTATTATATTTCCTTAAAGCTATACTAACCTAGGATGGTGGCTTTTAGACTTTGGGTAATGGGAAGATAATTATTAGTGTAAATATGTTGTTTGTTTCTGCCCCAAACATGATTTGGACTTCTAACTTTGGGGGAAGTTAGTGATTCAGGGTATTGAAGACAGATAGAACATTTGTGGTTCTTTTTAGTGTCAAGAGTTTATTACAAAGTTTCGTATATATTTGGAGTTACTGTGATCAAACTGCCATCTGTTAATCTTTATAGAGTGGATGCTTAATTTTTAGAGCATTTTTCTATTTTCCAGCCTTTGCAAAATGTTAGCACAGTGCTGCAGAAGCCTAATCCTCTCTATAATCAGAATACAGATATGGTCCAGAAGTCCGTCAGCAAAACCCTGCCCTCTACTTGGTCTGACCCCAGTGTAAACATCAGCCTAGACAACTTGCTACCTGGTATGCAGCCTTCCAAACCCCAGCAGCCATCGCTCAATACAATGATTCAACAACAGAGTAAGTTGCCCCAAGACTTCCCATTTCTTTGTGTACATGGAATCTTTTGCCTTGATGCCAGGATTGCTTCAAGCCATGAATAACAGACTGTGTGTTCACTTGAGATTATTTTCAAATAGTACTTGTTATCCCTCCTGACACATTGAATTACTTTGTATTCTGCTCTTGACATGATAAAACTTACTGTATTGTGGTGAGTGTTGGGGACCTTATCACTAAAATAAAAACAGTGGTAGAAAATTTTTTTAGTGTAGGCAAATATAACAAGGATACAAAAATCATCTGCAGTCCATAATCCATGGATAATCACCATTAATTCATACTTTTGCCCACTGCAGAGGTGGGCAAAAGTAGGTTTACAGTTTGTATGGGAAAAACATGAAGGTTGTGATTATAATGATACAAGAATAAACTGTTTTGCATACTCATAACTGTAAACCTACTTTTGACCACCCCTGTATTTTTAATATTTGAGATCACTCTGTCTATATTTTGTTTCTTGCAGTTCTCATTCAACATAATTAACATTTTTTTCTGTATTGAATATTAAGAAAAATATATTTTAGATCTTTATAGTTATCATATCAGTGTACAGTTCCTCTGTTGTTGGTTATTTCTATTGTTTCCAGCCTTTTGCTATTAAAAGAACTCCATAATTTTGTTTGTATAATTATTTGTGCTTGTGGTTTTTTTCCTTAATATTCTAAAAATACAGTGAGTCACAGGATTTAAACTTTTTTATGGTTTTTGATACACAGTAGCTCCTGACAACTTGTTTGGTTGGATTCCACAATAGATTTTGTGGAAATGATTTTAAAGTGCCTTCTGTTTTCCCCCAGGCTACTTTTACTGTTTCCACATCTTTGGGATACCAAAGCTAACAGCCACTGAATATTTCTCAAGAGCAAACAATGCAAGTTACTTGACTTCTCTTGTAAAATCACTAAAAGAATTTTATTGTGGCTTACAGATAATGATGGTTAGGAAGATTGCATTATTTTTCTGCTCTATGAATCTAAGAATTCAGTGTGGTAAAGTACTTTTGTCTCTTTTCTTCTGGTAGATATGCAGCAGCCTATGAATGTGATGACCCAAAGTTTTGGAGCTGTGAACCTCAGTTCTCCATCAAACATGCTTCCCGTCCGGCCCCAAACTAGCCCTTTGATGGGGGGACCCATGCCTATGAGCATGCCCAATGTGATGACTGGCACCATGGGAATGGCCCCTCTTGGAAATACTCCGATGATTAGCCCGAGCATGATGGGCATGAACATGAACATAGGGATGTCAACTGCTGGGATGGGACTGACGGGCACAGTGGGAATGGGCATGCCCAACTTAGCCATGACTTCTGGAACTGTGCAACCCAAGCAAGATGCCTTTGCAAATTTCGCCAACTTTAGCAAATAAGAGATTGTAAAGGAGCAGATTTAATGAAGGATTTTTAGTGGTGCAGATAGGTGATGTTGGGATGGAAAATGCTAATCAATTCCCCTCTTATCAGTTAATTAAAATAAACCTATGTAAAGAACCAAAAAGGGTGTTTTATAATAGTGAAATATCTAGTATTTCAAATTGCCAGGCAAGGGCAGTTCAGATGAGGCAAACTATTTTCCCAGTGAGAATTGACCAATGGGGTAGTGAGACCATTGAAAAAAAGCCTTGATAAATCGAAGAGCCCATTTTAACATCATAATTTGCGGGAGGACTGCAATAGGGCTGAATAAATATGTTTGAATCTCTAATTTTATACTTTTCTTTTCCTGAGGAACTTGATTTTTCTGTCCCTGAATCACCTTATCATAATTGGATCTGTTCCTTTTACTACCACTCTTGAGCCCATATATTAAATCATTAAAGTTGGATGATCAGTTTTTTATAAAAAAATATATTTTTATCCAAAAAAGGCATACATATGTGATTATGGCTAAATCAAAGGTAACTGGAATGTATATACTTTTGCTAATGTTCCAGCAACACTGCTAGTATACTATCCAAATTTTTATTGTAACAAAACTTAACTTTAAGTAATTGGTGATAGCTATGGGAATTTTCCCATATCATCTGCTATAATTATCCTGTGCAGAACTAGGAAAAATATTTTTTTCAGGACTGCTCTATTGTTTCCTTTAAAAGAAAAGAAAAGAAAAAAACCACCTCCAGTATTTTTGTTTGTTTTAGCAGTCATTATTTACAATTTGCAGTGGTTAACTTGGCAAGGCTTCCTTCCGTGTTTGTCCCTGTAGCCACCATTTATCAGCAACAGTCAGAAAAATATTTATTTTTATTTTTTTGGTCTCTTTTCAGAAAATTGGAAAGATAAAAATCCACTAAGACCTTAAGTTAAATATAAATGTTAGAACTCAGCAATGTCAACTTTTAGGTTTTATACAGTATTTGTTTTGTTTTGGTTTCAAGTGTGTATAATAAGGCATTAGCAATGTGGTTCCAATAGAGAGAGGTTAAATATATATAATTAAAGGAGACCTGTAGCAGTCAAAGATTTTATTGATTTAATGGCAAATAAAGGAAATTAATTAAAATGTTTTTGTTTTCCTGCTGTAATTCTGCATTAAGCTCACATGAGAAATCATGATTCCAGAGTTTGGAATGCAAAATTGTTTCACCCTCAAACTTGGGAATATTTTTAAAAATAAATACTATAATATAGGTATCAAATTATTACCTCCCACTTTGTGTTGAAATTTTTTTTATTGATAAAACTTTGTTTCCATTGTATTCATAATGTTCTGTTATACATAACATTAAAATGTTCATTAAAATCACTGTCAAACTGCTTTTTCTTTCATTCTGTTAGACATTTGAGACTGGGGGAAGTATAATTTGGGCAAAGTAATTTTTATAAATAATTTAAGATTATTTAATGACTTCTCTATTTTTCTTATCAAACTCTACTGTTAGGAATTTAAAATGAAGCAGCAAAGCTACCCTGACCCGCTCCATTCTTGCTAATGTTCCATCTACAACATTCCTAATTAAGCAGAAATTCATGTACTTCTGCTAAGTGGTAATGAAAAGTGATTCATTTGTTGAATAAGAGATGAGAGAGAGTGTAATTAGGTGACTGTGGTTTTTAATCTTTCAACAATTTAGTGTGTTTAGATTAGTTTCAAAGAATAGGAGCTTTCAAGTGTTACTTCAGAGCATTCAAGCCAGGCTCTGATGGCAGTATGGAGAATATCTTCACTGATAATTAAAACTCATAATCTTAAATGAATTTTCTATAAATTGAGAGTTACAGCATCACCTTTATATGGTTCTTGGAGGAAATATTTTGTTTCTAAACTTGTGTTTAAAATTTTTTTCCTAATAAAACTAAGATTTATTTCTAAAGCATTTTCTGTACTATGCCTTCTTCCTATGTTGTGTCTATGGATAGAAGTAAGCTCCCATCTCAAGTTATTATTGCACCTCAACATACAGTTTGATATTTTACCAGAATGTTTTGTTTTAGAGCCCATGAAAGAGAAAACATAAGACTTGCCTCACTGAAAGTCCATCCAATTTAATGATTCATCTCTGAAGGGGTTACTAAGTGATACTTCAAAGAAAAGTTAGAATACTCCCAAATCATTTGGATTTGGCAAGAAAATACTTTTCTTTAATAATCTATTGGTCTCCCTTTTGCCCATCCTATACCCCTTTTCCTTTTCAGCAGCTTCTCTGTTGTACCTATTTTTCATTCTGCCTAATATTTTGAAGGGTGGAGGGTGAAATAGTTGCAGTTCTAGCAATTTACATATAAGGAGTTCTCACTGCCACTCCAGATTCATTTTTCACTGATGCAATCTTCAGGTATTTTAAATGTTTCCTTTATTATTTAATATAAACTGCCTGAAGGATACCCATAATACTATTGGTTTGAGGGTAGTCACTAATAAGTTGAGACCTATAATTATATTTGGAGGGAAGGGGTTAATAATTTTTCTCAAATATTTATGAAGCTGTCCTGTGGTAAATAGGCTTCTGAAATAAACTGGCTTTGTGTTTCAGCTCTCCCAGGAGACAGCACTGCAGTTTGGAAAGAGCTGGGACTTGGAAACAGGCAGTCTAATCCCCTTTCAACCACTCACTGTCTGGTGACACCTGATCAATTTACCTGACTTCTTTGGGCACTGATGCATTTTTTTTCTATGAATCTGGAAGTGTTGTATAATTAATTTAAATGATGAGTGAAATCGACCAGCACTGACATACGTATGCTTTAAATGTTTCTCTGCCTCCCATTTTTTATTGATTTATATTTACATTTTTAAAATATATTTTTATTGATTTCAGAGAGGAAGGGAAAGGGAGAGAGAGATTGAAACAATGATGAGAGAATCATTGATTGGCTGCCTCCTGCACACCCCCTACTGGGGATTGGGCCGGCAACCCAGGCATGTGCCCTTGACTAGCATCAGACCTGAGACCCTTTAGTCCCCAGGCCAACGATCTATCCACTAAGCCAAACTGACCAAGGCTGCCTCCCATTTTTTAATCTAAACGCACTTCCACATCAAAAACTTTCTGTGTGCCAGTCACTGAACTAAAAACTTCATGTGCATGTCATTTAATCTACACAGCAAACCCCAAATTCATATTCCTGTTTTATTCCTAAAAGCAGTGTTTAGTGAAGAAAGCCTGAGAGACTGTTCTGCTAAGTTGATTTCTAATTGAGGATTTTCCTATATGCCTGAATTATTGTAAATGAGCTGTTTTGTGAATGTATTGACTCACTTCTACTTACTGCATTGGCGCAGATGTGAGGGCGAGAACTATGAAAGTGAGCTCCTAATGTGAGATTTGCCACCCAAATAACCCTCAGAATGGCCTCAATTTTTAGAAGCAGTAGAGAGCTCAATGTTTCTAGTGGTTTTTGTTAACTAAGATCTTGCTGTTCTTCTAATGCCCAGATAAGCAATCAGATATAAAGACTGGACAAAAATATCTATCCAAGAAAGGATTTCTGGCTTACTTTGAACTCATTATGACTTTAATTCTGTGTCTCCCTTCTTTTATACTGGCAGCATCAGTAGCATCTTTACCCTGTGCTGCTTATAAGGGGTTTGGGGGAATCAGCATGAAACCAATTCAGATGTTTAGCTTTCCAGGGATTCTGGAGGGATTTGCTGATGGGCAAACGGATTTCATTTGTGACTCTTACTTTTAATGAGTCCTGGACTATGAAACCCTACCTTTTTCCCATTTGATTTTTCTTAACCATACATTTTGCAGCTGTGTTCTTTAAAGGCTCCAAGCACACCCTCCATTTTATAATGAGATAAGGGGGCTCAGAACCATCTTTACATCCTTAAAAATTATCAAGGACCCCAAAGAGCTTTTGTTTATATGGGTCATATCTATAATA